GGCCTAACCATTGCTCCTGCTCATCTGCACGGTGGGCAACACACAGAGGCTCATTGTACTGCCGCGGGAGGGAGTTCACAGTGTCAAATGGATCTTCCTCATGACACTGGCCTGCTGCGATCTGATGATATTGTACGGCTATTAAATGTGCCGTTTTCTTATCGCATTATTTGTCAAGTACATGACGTACAGTAACTGTTTGTGGACCTGTAATCAATTTCGATAGTAACAAGCAATAAAAATTAATGTGTCGTATTCTTGTGGGTTGTGGGGCTCTCCCGAAATAAATTTGTCCGCGTATATGGTACATTTAAGGACGATGATTTGTATGACCATTTCATCATTGATACAGGTGGGCGCAGTTCTTTCCTTCAAGAAGGGCATTTGCGGTGCCTGCGCATTCCTGGAGGAAAGTTTTAACGATCTCCGATTGGTAAGTATTGCTGCGATAATCCAGTTAATCTATGGCTGGGTCGCCCAAATCGGTAAAATCAGTACGGAAGTTGACTGTGGTTGAGATGGACGAGATCAACAGTGTGTTAGCTTGCTTCGGGAAGATTTCCGTATTGCATAGTATGCATCCACTCACGGTTGACTGTCAAACAAAGGTTCTTAACAGCCGGTTGTCGCTTAGACTTGGCCGTTAAAACTCGAACTCTCGCTCGTCGTTTAAATTTTACTTAATACAGCCCCGAACGACTCTTCTAAAATACGACAGGAAAAATTCAGAAGTTTTCGGATACCATACTGGAAATACCTAAAATACTATATTTAGTGACAACTGATTTGAGGTACAGTTATTTTCATTTATTCGAAAACTTAGCACAGGTTCGCAAAGTGAAGTGGTTTCTAATATTCTGGTATGCAAACGGATTTTAAAATTCTGATCTTCTGTACAGAAACCGTAAATTTGCAATACTGGCAACGCTGATTACGGGCACGCAGTTCACAAGGAAGCAACTACGAATATCAATTTGGGACTTTTGGCATTTTTGTGCAGGAATCTGGTGGCATTCAGCATTGAGTTCGTTGCCGCCGTTGCATTCCCGGTATGGTACCATGGTATTCGGACCAGCGTGTCCAGAACCATCCGCGCCGTGGTGTCTAACGTCTATTGCTCATAGCATTACTTTTCTTTCTTACGCTTTAAATGGGCCCTTCATACACTATTCCTTCTCTATTGGCTTTTGAAGCCAAGCAATGTTAATTGACATCAAGATTTTTGGAAATTACAATCAATTCGGGTACGTTTCCCCAAAATTTACCATAAATAACCCGTCAACGCGCGCAGTTAACCATAGCGAACTTTTAAACGCTCTTTGTGACTGTCCGACACCTTGTGCATTCGGGTTTCCCAAGAAGTGAGCCTGTTTCGAATTACACCGAGATCAAAAGCAAAACACCCCATAATAAAAAACCGCTCAACCCAACTACTAGAGCCCTTAACGAGCAGCAAAAGTGTTTTTCTACTTGCTCAATTGAGCTTCTCAAACTTTTTTGCTCGCTCAACTCGCTCGTATTTGTTATGGTCTAAGTTCGACTCGCTCGTAAGATCGGCAATAACAGTTTTTCATACACCAAAATTAAAATTTTTGCGCGTTTGGCATTTACTAAAAATGCCTTTTTCGCTAAGGTCCGGTCGATGATCGTTCTACTTCACCTCTATACTGGCATCCTTGATCCTACTTTGACAATTTCGCTTGTTTGCCAACAGAACTTCCTAGATTCGAAATCAGATTCCATTTTACTAGCTTTAATTGTAAAAACTTACAATATAAACAAATATAAACATCCCCACCCCTGGTTTAGGAAGCATTAGTGATACCGTAAAGCGAATCGTACAGTTGAATCTCTAAGTTAGCTACCGGTTTGTCGCTAGTATCATGTTGACAAAAAAAAATTATGAAAACTTTGTCGCGCGAAGCTGACAGTGGATTATGGCTTTTAAAGCTCTGTTTGGGCAGTTTCTTGTGGTAGTTTCTTCCGTTCTCACAACATGATGCGGGCAATTCTGGATCACTTGCTTGTACAAAATGTTACAGGTGATGTTTTGTCACGGTCAGAATTATGGATGTACCGTATTACGTGCTATTCGGACTTCGCACACAAACTGTTCGGCGTGTCTTACGAATTATCTATGCACTGCAATAATATTCGATAACATTGTAATTGTTTATCGGTACTGTAATAATTATTTATTTTGGAGTTCATTGTACTAATGTGCTTCTTAATTATTCAATACTCCATAAAGCAGTACGAGTATAGAGTATTGACTGTTAATTATTCAGTACTTGTACTGCTTTATCGATGGTTTAGGATTAGCTTTATCGAGTGATTGTTATGGTATACTTGGCTTCATTGTACGTGATTGAACGATTTGTTTGACATATTCCGGTATGATAGCACAAGCGAACGTGCATTATACTAAATTTACTACGTATATATGTTGCTGTGTCGCGCATCCGTTCAAATATTAGTTTTTAGTACAGTGGTATTTTTTATTAGCCGACATTAACAGCCACCACGATGGCAAAGAAACGTTTTCCGGACTATACATGAAATGAAAATTAAGAAATTCTGAATGAAAATTAATCTAAGACGAATCTTGTTTGCAATTCAATCAATAAAAATAACGAGAGTGTATTTTAGGTATGCCACGAATCACCAAATTATCGAATCGGACAATTTTATGGCTGTATTAAAAATAAATTCGATAAAGCCGTATGAACGCTGAATAACTAACTGAAGCAAAAAAGAGTTTCCGGCACTGTTGTCGGGACCGATTCAGAAACTTTTCTACAGTCGAAATTACCAACCAAAAAGTGTTTTCATCTTTGTTTTGGTGTCCATGGTAGTAGTTGGTGTTTGCGTAGTGGTAGGCTTCTTGAACGTAAGAACGTCATTTCCATTATACGGGTGGCTCAACCCGTCTGACGCACTTCTGTTATCGCCTCTAACCAAGAAACTGCCGCGTCCGGCGTCGAATTGTCTCGGATTTCTTGCATTTTCAGGATCTTGGAAAAAGCCAAAAATAAGGGTACAGTACCTCCATTCAAACTAGCCACTAATCATTCATTTAGTTACCTAATGCTAAAAAACCATGGTTTTATCATCTACAAATCAAATGTAACTACGTATGTAAGTCCTTGTAGGATTAACTTGGCAAAAACCCATTTGCATGAGTTTTGGTGCTGCCGATCTTTAACACGCTTTGCATCAATCTTGGAATTTAACAAACGTTGTACAGATGCGTAGCATACACACGCAGCACTGTACATACAGGTACATGTTGCATTTCTGGATTTACTTTTTTTTAAAAATAAGAATGCAGGACAAGAATTTCTGAAAAAAAAGAGAAAAGAATATGCGCAAATGAGAATTACCTGAAAATGCCTTGTGTCCTTGAATCAGGACGATGAGCACAAGATACGCATTTTTGGAGGCTGACAATGTGATAAGGTCAATGGCTGACACTAATAATCGCTGCGAATATGACTGTCGGTCGGGTAAATAGGATGTCAGCAGCTACAGTAATCAAACGTAAGGTCCCTCTAAGGTACTCGATACTTAGTGTTGCGTCGCCCTGACTTGAAATTTTCCTTTTAAACCTTTCCAATGCTACTGAAAGCTGTCATTTTTCTAATTTCTCGGTATGAATTGTGGGCTGGTGCGACAATTTTACTGACATCAGCAATGTCTTGGACTTTGACTTGACAGTTTCATGGTATTTCATCTTGCAAAAGTTTTGTTTTTGTGGTACATACATCGCACAGCTGCAACGGTGCGAAATTACCTCGATTTTTCAAGTGGAAAGTGGCGCTACGATGCCCTATCCAGGTATAGAAGCTACTGGAAGAATTTACAGATCTCGATCCAGGACTGACTTACTGACAAATGTCTGAAGTGAACACTATTTTTGCGCCGAGTAAGCATACGCAGTGGAGAAAATTTTGAGTGCTTTTCTGATAAACGCAGTATGTACCGGTATGTGTGTATACGTTTGTAGCCGGCAAGAATGTTAACATGTTCACGGTTCACGCTGTGAGCATATTTGCCGGGCGAAAATGCTTGTGAGCATTTTTGACGGGCAAAAATGCTCACGAATGAAACCATGCATGTCATGCGCTGATTTACTCTGCATCCTATATGGAATTATATATTCCTACATTCTCAGTACGCGAAGGAAGGCTTTAATGGATTGGGACTTAAAACGTCGGTCGCATAAAAATTAGTCTTTCCTAAAAAAACGGCCAATTTTATCATTAAGTTTTAAAGCAATTTCTGTATATGGTCAAGCGAAATGCTACGCGCCAAAGTTTCATGGTTGCAGCACGACCACACAGCTATCCGGCTGTTCCTCTTACGCATTACGGCATGATGATATTATTCTGATAATACAATGTATCTTATTTATTATTCACTACGGATAGGTGATTTTGCGAGCAGAACAGGATAGACGTTAATTTACTGAATGGTACCGGGCAGAGATGCTCACGCATGCTACTTTGTGCAGTAATCGGATACCGCTGATGCGAGCCGCACTTGTAAGCAGAAGATCAGGGGCACTGCCACTCTGCCGTCTCGGCGGGGCAGCCAGTGGTCCTGAACATCGGAGCCGGGCGGAGATGTTCACGTTTCATCACCGGAAGCGATGTGCATTTTGCGAACTCGTTACCCGTTACGTCATGGTTCTTACGCGGGTGCAGCTTGCGCGTTGTTTAAGGGAAGTAAGTAGTATGTCAATAGGTCCGGCAGCATCTCTGATTGGTCAGACACGCCCCCTTCTCTGATTGGTCAGACACGCCCCCTTCTCTGATTGGTCTGAGCCGAACCTAACGGTCTGAACCGGGCCGAGGCCGAACCGAGACCGGCCGAACCGAACCGGGCCGAGACCGAACAGACACCGACCGAACCGTACTTTACCCCCTTTCTTTTGTTTATTTTTCCCCACCCTCTTTTATTTTGTTTTCACCGAATAACAACGAACAAAGTAAAACAAATCAGACCGCATGAACATACACAGGAGTAGCAGTACAATCTTTGACAAAAATACAATTTCGGTTAAATTTCTGATGGTCATTGTATGGATCTCCCGGTGTCCAGTTGCTCATTGTAAACCGACAGAAATGACATTTAACTGTATCATCAGATCCGGTGTAGTACAGTCCGATCCTCGCCATGGCGCCGGCAGAAGGCAGGAGGTGTGGCCAATTTTCAAAAGTACTGAGTGGTCCGTTGGGGTCGTGCAGTGTGGAAACGTACTTGTACAGTTCTTCGGCTAAGGTATACACCTGCTCCTGGCCGTCCCAGATGCCCACCATTTCGTCAGGTATACCTGAGAATCCGGACCAGGCTCCTGCAATGGCACAAGCCATGGTCCCAATGGCATCGGTGCATCCTCCGGTTAACATTGCCGCATGAAGGGTGGTTTCAAAAGGGGAATCGCTGCGGCGACCAATAGCAGCACAGTAAATGGCAACGGGAACTGCGTCCAAAGGGCTGGTGCCAACGCCAATGGCTTTGAACAGTTTTTCCTTTGGTTCAGCGCGTTCCGCGTAGTCCAGCACCATCATCATACGTGTATAAAATTTCTGGCGTACAGAATCGGGGAGAGACTTGCTAGTGTATTCAACAAGAGCGGCGAGAAACTCAAGTTCCTTCATCTTTTTATTCTTTAGAACCAGACTGATGGCGTAGGCCTGCAACTGTGCCCCAGCGGCGGCATCATTGGAAGAGTGTGTGAGTCGGGCTACACGGTCTACAGAGAAACTCATCTGCTCCGTACGATTGTAGAAGTACAAGGGAAACGCTGTTATCCAAGTGGCAGCGTTACACTCTGTGCCCCGGTTGCGGACTGTCGTAGCAGCAGCGGTCCAGTCTTTTGGGGGAGAATGTTTCCAACTTGTAATAATGGTGGTCAGTTCACCAAAGGCTTGGCGTTTAGTGTAGTTGTAGTAAAAGGTTTGGCTACACTCTCGTGCGGCATTCTCCAAAGAAAAGAAGCCGGTATCCAGTAGAGACTTGGCGTAAGCGTGCGTTATTAAGAATTTCTCCCAGTAAGTCGAGACCTTGCTCCGCACTCCCGCCAAGTTCATGTGGCAGGAGGTAGGGCGTCTCAGGGGTGTTCCGATGCATTCTCCGATCAGAGCGCCTAATAAACAACCTTTGTACTGATCCATGGCGTTCAGAATTGCGAATGAATTCCCATTCCAGACAGCTAAGATAGACCACGTCGTTTTCAGAAATCAAACTGGCGCTGACCTAGATTCTTTGTTCCTTGCCTAATCCAAACTGTCGCTGACCCGCATTATGTCTTATTCTCTCTGATTTGACAATGAGCAATCCAAACTGGCGCTGACCTAGATTCTTTGTTCCTTAGCTAATCCAAACTGGCGCTGACCCACATTCTGTCTCGTTCTCTCTCATTTGACAATGACTAATCCAAACTGGCGATGACCCACATTCTGTCTTATTCTCTCTGATTTGACAATGGTTGATCCACACTGGCGATGACCACGTTTTCTTCAGTTACTACGAATTCTCCACAGTCAGTGTTTCGGCACTGCGCTTTCAGAATGGATTTTGACCTTTCGGAATTAACTTTTACTCCAGCGCAACGGGAATACTCTTCTGGATCTTTTCATATAAAGTTTCTAGATTCTGGAGAAATTCAAATCATCGGCTTTCGTTGTTACAAGAAGTCTTTGTCACTTTCGATCGCGGAATTTTTGCATATCCTCAGTTTTGTACGTGATGATTCGTACAACATACCTTTTTCGGTTGACGGCGATCGTTGTCACAACAAATCCTCGTTCACGAAGGATTTCGGCAATGGCTTATTGGCGAAACGCATAACTGTTAACGGGGTCACTGTCATTCAAATCGATCGTTTCACAAGTACCGACGCGAATTCTGATAGTCGCGCGAGAATTCCTAAAAAAGGAATCACTTTATTGAGGGATCTAAAGTAAGATGATTTACGGCGTTCACTGGCATCCATTCAGAACTTTAATTTTCATCCGTTACCCTTGGAATTCCATCACGAATGCGCCTCGGCCATTGTTTCGGTTGCCAACGACCAAACGAATGGTGACGTGTGGAAAATTGCACAGGACGAGGCTTTGTTTTACCGCTTAGAAACAAAGTACATCGATATACTGTCCAAATACAGCGTCAATGACATCACTGGCGCTCCATCGCCAGTCGAGTTCTTTCGCCAGTGGAATTTCAGCATCGTAAGTCTTCAAGCGTAACTACATTTCAAAGAACATTTAGTTTGATGTCGACCGCTCTTCTGTTCACATCAAAATGGCTTCAGTACGGGCTTTGGAAGTTTTGGGGGTGCATGAAGATTTTACTATCTACAAAATCAACGCTGTAGTTAGTATGTTTTGGAACCCGAAGGATGTTTGCTTCTTTCTAGTGTTCGATGCCAAACCGGACGGTTCTGGGTTGAAGAAGGCCATGGACAAAGGAGTTCGCCTGGCTTATGCCGATATCAACAGCATGTTAGGGATGATTAGAAACGGGACACTGCAGGATTGTATGGACCGCGCCATCGTTGACAAGAGCGCTGAAAAGTTTTCTCTGCCGGGTCAGGGCTGTGTGGATGTTACTGTCAGCATCCACCCGAAATACGGACGCATGATTCGTTTCTCTCAACCTCGGCGCACCATTCAACTACCATATCAGGGATTCATCAATCTCATGGAGGAAATCTACATCCAGCACTGGGGACGGGATATTGTTGTCTGACTGGATGCTTCAATTTTTATTAGCATATCTTACTTAGCATTTACTCTGTTCTGTTTGTTGTGAAAAGAAAAAAGGCTTAGAAGCCATTATTTGTGACAGTCTTAACTTGAAAGGTATATAAAGGTTCCAAGTTGACACTGTCGCAATTAATGCTCGTAGCCATGGATATACGTAACGTCATTCTTTCCGTCCAATTCGACAAAGCGATTTGTTTGGAGAAAGTTTGGAAATCATTTCCACTTAATACAAAGTCCGTTAAAGGATTTAATGCTGTCACTTTAAGTTTACAAAACAAAACGTTCTGTCAATTATCCCCTAATGGTAAGGCTATAATAAACGGTGCTAAAAGTATTACAGGGTCGTATTTACTCCTAAAATGTTATCAAATGATGCTTTATACTCAAGGCATAGAGTTAAACATTAAGGACAGCAGTGTCGCAAATACCGTTTGCACGTACAAGCATACACACAACGTTAACTTGGTAAATCTTTACGAAAAAGCAAAAAACTTCTCCGTGCAACGTCTACTAGAACCAGAGCTGTTTCCAGCACTAAAATTAAGGCTTTCGTACGCTACCATTCATATTTTCCATACCGGTAGCTGTGTAGTCCTTGGTTGTACTTCTTCGGAGCAAATTCTAGAAGTTTTTGAATTTGTAATAAACCTCCTAGATTCTTCAACTGAAAACTCCAGAATCTGAAACAATAACGGAATTTTTCAAAGTCAAAATCAGGAGTTTCTTGAAAAAAATTTTTCATAGATAAAGCATACAAATAGCGGTTTGAAAACGGAGTTTTTTAAAATGGAAAAGGTGACTTTTGATTTCAGATTTAAAACTCCTTGTTCGCTTTATATTTCTGGTCCAACTATGTCCGGAAAATCGACATTTACGATGCAGCTTTTCCCAATAATTTCACACCTGCGCCCATACGTATAGTATATGCGTACGGTACATGGCAAGAGGCATTCAGTAATTTTGATAAGTCCATCGAGCTGCTGCCAGGAATGGATAAAATCTTGGAAGATGAAAATTTTTTTGATAGAAATACGCCTACGCTACTTATTCTTGATGACCTCATGGAAGAAATATCAAAAAACGCAAAGTGTTCGACAATATTTACCAGAGATGTGCATCATAAAAATGTTTCCGTTATCTTTATATCGCAAAATTTATACAAACAAGGCAAAAGCATGAGAGATATCTCTCTTAACTCACAATATTTAATTTTATTTAAATCTGTACGTGATGTACAACAGATTAAACTACTTTCTCGCCAGCTAGGTATGCCGCATTTGTGTGATGCAAACAAAAAGGCTATAAAGGAACCTTTTGGTTATTTGGTAATAAATCTTCGTCCTGATACACCTGACAAGCTAAGGCTACAGTCAAACATATTTGACTACCGAAAAATATACGTGGAAAAATGAATCCAGAAGACGTTCTCAGTATACTACGCGCTTTGGAAATTATGAATCCACGACAGCGTAGATATTTTTTACAGGTTGCTTTTAAAAAACAAATTTTAGCAATTGAAGAAGCTTGTTTAAATTTGGTGAAGCAACCAACGGCTTTGAGTAAAGTTGATTTAGCCAGAGCACGACGTTTTGCACCGATAATTAAGCGTTTAGCCGACAGAAAACTTTCACACGTTAAAAAGCGAACAATTTTAGCGCAAAAAGGAGGATTCTTAGCTGCTCTACTTCCAATTCTGGGAACACTAGTTCCATCATTTATAACAAAATGAAGACCTACGTTCTTGTACCTGAGTCCGAATTTTCTGCACCCGGCAAGACCAAAGCCACCTCATGGAAAAAGGCTGAAGAATTTCGTAGTGCCATGACTCATGATTGGCTGACTCGTGCCGCGTATCAGACTAAGTCTGCAGACTATGAACCACGGGTTATGAGATCTGAAGTTAACGAACACAAACCAAACGTGCCTTCGCAAAGGAACTATGGTACTCAAGCTGCGCCTCTTTTTACTGATGGATCAACACAAGCGACCGAACCTCCGGTTATTCAGTATCTACCAAGTGAGCCAGTATATTTCCAAAGTGAGCCCACAACACAATATATTGAACGCGAACCTATTGTGCAGTATATCGAGCGCGATCCCGTTGTGCAGTATATCGAACGTGAACCAGTTGTACAATACGTACCACAGTATGTACCTAGAGAGACACTGGTAAAACATGTGTATAAAAGTCCACGCCCCAAGCCAATATCCAAAGGGCAAAGACCAAAAAAGAAGCTACCATCCTCACCCATCTTAGAGTTTCCGGATGATGGGTCTTTAGAGTATGTACCTCCCGAATACGAACCACTTCCCGTGTCGCTACCTACAGATCGCATCGACGTTGTGGTTGCACCGCGAAGCTCTGGTCCAATTACACGCAGCAAAAAAGCGGCTCCGTATAAGGTTCCCGATAGAAAAGCGATTACATCCAGGGCTTTACCGGCCCCTTCGACTTCACAGGCCTTATCTGTACCGGAAAATTTAAAAGCTTTGCCCGCCCCATCAACTTCAAAGGCTTTACCAGCGGCTCCGACAGCCAAAGCGTTGACCTATACAGAACCAACGGAAACACGCACCCTCAAGAATGGCGTTGAAAAGAGCTATGACTTATTAAGGCGTAAAACCACAAAATCTACGGGTCCTCCTAAAAAGAAGCAAAAGACACAGAAGGGTGGTTGGCTCAGCTACGCATAATGGCAACACTGGACGATATTTATTTAGATGCTTCTAATCCTGGTAGTCTGGGAGGCATCGAGCGTTTGTACCGGGAAGCGCAAAATCATGGATTTTCTCGTCAGCAAGTGGAAGAGTATTTGCAAAGCAAAGACGCTTATACTCAACATAAACCTTTTCGGTCGAAATTTAAACGTCGAAAGATTTTATCATTTAATATTGGTGACCAGCACCAAATTGACTTGGCAGATATGCAAAAATTTGCGAATGACAATAAAGACGTTAAGTATTTACTGACTTGTGTCGATTGTTTTTCTCGCTACGGCTGGGCCGAGCCCGTCAAATCAAAGAAACCCGAAGAAATTATTCGTGCTCTGTGTAATATTTATAAAGAATCTGATCGACCACTGCGCTGCCAAAGCGATAACGGTAAAGAATTTGTGAATAAACAACTGAAAAACTTTTTTACTGATCACAATATCAGGTTTTTTACAACAAAGAACGACGATGTTAAATGTGCCATGGTAGAGCGATTTAACCGAACAATTAAGGAACGTCTTTACGTGTACATGACAGAGAATAATACTTACAAGTACCTCGATATTTTACCTGAGATTTTAAAATCATATAATAATTCTATTCACTCTAGT